CCTCCCTTTCCGAGGCAGCTCCATGGGACCTTATTTCGGAAAAATTATGTATTGAAGTCAATGGGGAGAGAAAGATTATCTTTCGATCCCGCTTGAATTGTGCCACGAATTACCCATATGATGTTTGTCAATCTTAAAAAATCATTTCCATGTAAAAAAAGTCACAGTTTGTCGTAAAACTGTTGAAATATAAGACTATGTAAAATACGCAACTAGAAAGACTACAAATCCCAGAATCCCGTTCCCGCATGCTGGCTCTTACGGAACCCACTAACTCCCCTTGTGTGTATGTACAGCTCTCAACGTGCCCAGACTTGCAGTGATTTTCACCTCTTTTAATACTTTCCGCCTCATTCTGAAAGAAAGAAGTGAAATGTGCCAACGTGACGGCCGTCTTGGTGTGTGGTGCGAGATGGGAGATGTAGTTCATTGAGCGATTTCACACAACAAAAAGTGTTACTTCACAGTTTTACCACACATTTTTATTTTTTTGACTTGCAAAATTATCTTTTAAATTGACAAACATCATATGTGTAATTCGTGGAACAATTCAAACGGGATCGAAAGATAATCTTTCTCTCCCCATTGACTTCAATACATACTTTTTCCCTAATAAGGTCCCATGGAGCTCCCCCGGAAAGGGAGGGGCTTCACCTCTCTATTTTAGCTGGGCCGACTAAAATGATTGGTTGTGCTTTTTACAGCGCTACGGCTTCCGAATATGAATTTGTTTTATGTATTTATTGTCAAAGCATTTAATATATTCATTGCTATCGGGATGTTAAGAGCATTCCATGGAATATAACAAAAAGTGTTTCTGAAGTAGATTACATACCCACATTTAATATGTATGTACCTTTACAATGACGCTCTCAAAGCTGTATCATAGACGCTCCTGTTGTTTGACGGAGACACGGAAAATGTTGTTGTTCCTTGTTGTTTTTTAAAAATGTAACACGTGCTTGTCTCATTATTCTACTATTAATATGACATTGTTTTCCTGTGCAAAACATCTAACAAGCCGTACTGTGTCGACTCTGCAAAACATACCCTGGGAAAAAAACAGCCAATCAGAAAGGCCTCTGTGATTACCGAGGTTTGTTGCCAAGTAGGTTAACTCATAGGAGGAATTTGTCTTGGTGTTTTTTCGTGCATATACATAAACATGCATACATAAAAATAAAAACAATGATAAAAACATATTTTAGGGAATAACATTAAACTAAAGAAATATTTACATTGAATACTGATGGAATAGGCATATGTGCATTTTACTTTATCAGGCTATTTTTCTAAAACAGTTTCTAAAAAGTACAATATTTAAACAAACATAACACTAAGAATAACATTATTACATTAGATGTATTGTATAAGCAACAATGTTTAACATATAATGACTGTTGCCCATACTGCTGGCCAAGTTCCCATAAATACAATCTAAATCTTAAGCCTGATCTGCACTGTATTTGAAAAAAAAAAAAGGCTATTATTTGCATTAATAAACAGAATAGGACACGCTAAAGCACTATTGTATATTGGGCATCATTGCAGTAAGAAAGTTGTTGGTTGAAAGGCAAAATCCTCCAGACTATAGTGACTCAAATGCTTTTATTTCTAAACAAAACTGTTTTTTTCCCACATTATTTGGTGACACTCAGAGGAGAGGGTTTCTGGTTTTAGTTCATATTTAATCTTATTCTAAAAAATTAAATGTGTGTTTTAATGAGAGTGTGAAGCTGTCAGCATCACTTCATGCTGCCATTAATTATCAAATAGCTCCATCTTGGGCAAACATCTCTGCTGTTGACATTTTGGGTTAGTGACTCTCAACATGAGGTCTGGGGCCCTCCAGGGGTCCGCCAGAGGGCTACAAACATGACGTCAATTCCACTTGTTATTTCCCTCCTTTATTGTCCAAATTAATGTTTTCCTCACCATCATTTCCCCATATCAAGAAGACACATTATTCTCACTCAAAGTTCAAATAAAATAGTGCAAGATAATGGTGCAAGACTAATGTGCAAGTATGAAAGAAATGAAATATATATAAATTTAAAATAGTTAAAAATAGAATGTAATGAACATGCCATCACTTGTTACTTCCCTCTTTTATATTGTCCGAATAAATATATTGTTCTTACCATAAGTCATTTCCCCTCTGTCATCACCCCATATGAAGTCATTATTCTTAAACCACTCTGTGATTCTCTGCAACATTAAGCATATTGTACTATTTTTTTTTTAATTACATTGATATAGTTCACTTCTTCTGCATTACTACATTGGTCTTGCAACATTATTTTTGCACAATTGTGTTTCTTGTCTGTTTCTTCTTGCACTATTTTCTATTGTTTTTTTGCGTATGTCTCATGTTGCATTGTTTGAGGAGCATGGGACTTAAGATGTTCATTGCATTATCCACACTGTCTGTAGCAGCTGTGCATATGACAATAAAAACTTTGAATCTTGAATTTGACATGTATAAAAAGCCCCTGACAGCTTCAGGATTTTTAATTGGCTGCTGCTGTGGGACAGTGGGAGTGTGACGTGGAAACAGACGCAGTGATTGGAGGGAGGCCGGGAATTATAAGGGGAGGCTGCCTCGGACTGAAGCTTCCCAAAGAGCAGCAGCTTCAGATCAGGCACCTCAGGACAGAGTTAGTGGAGTCAGAGCCTCTTCCTCCACCATGCAGCCGACAACTCGACTCACAACCCGGCAGTAACAAGTGTTTCCAAAGCGGCGAATATTTACGCGAGAAGAGTGTGCGTAAAGAGCGAGGACAAACTGTGCGTAATTTTCCCTTTTTTCTCTCTTGGAGTGAAAAAGCAGGCGGGGTTAAGCTTTTCCTGGAGGATTTATTTATTTATTTTTCATTTAAAGGGGAGTATTTTGGTCACAGACTTATCACCGATATGGAGTACACGTCGTCCCCGAAACCGCAGCTCTCGTCCCGGGCAAATGCTTTCTCCATAGCCGCCCTGATGTCCAGTGGGAAGCCCAATAAGGACAAGGAGACGGAGGAGAACACCATCAAGCCTCTGGGTGAGCATGGAAGAGGGCTTGCGGAATTAAATATAAAGTACATTTGAGCCAAAATCAGATGATTTTATGCGTACAATTATAACTGTTAAAGGAAGGATTTAAGTGGAGACATGCAGCCAATGTAGCAACAGAGAGGAACAAATACCAAACTGCAATCAATTCTCTATTTAAATAATCTGCAAGTGTGATAACATGTCATAAGACAGCTAAATAAATATATATACTTTAAGCGAATAAAGTAATGCATAGTGCCAAAAAAACACGGTGCAAAAAGGGAACAGTCAAGGCTTCAGACAAGTAAATAAATAAATCCTGATAATTTCACACAAAAATATATAGCTTGTTATATTTACAAGGGAGTGTGTTTTTCATTATTTCGATTAAAAAAATTGCATTTTTTTCTATTCTTTCAGTCATTAGTTAATGTTTAAAACACGAAGGGGGAATGTAATTTGAATTGTGTGGTTCATTTGAATTTTTACAAAAAATAAATAGTGATATTTCAGGCCCATATATCTCACTGGGTTTTGGAGCAGATCTCGGCAAACATTAAATACAATGTGAATGTCTTTTCATATTAATTGAAGTCTTATATGGAACAATATGTGTTATTGAAGCGCAAAGTGTGCCGGATTTCATCAAAGTAAATTAAGCGATGCGCAAAATGTTTTATAGATGAATAAAACAACGGCATTTATTATTTGCATCACGTGGTTCATTCCCCTTAATGACGAACATTAAAGCTGTAGCCTAAATACCAAATATAAAATGTTATTCCCTTTTATTTCCCATTACCCAGGGCACAGCACATGGATAGTCTAGAAATAACAATGATTAAAAAGTGTCTAAATACATGAGACTATAGACCTTTTATTAGATATACTCTCTTGTATCTGATTAAACAGAGCTTCAGATTCAGCATACTAAATATTAAATTAACATAGCCTATAGTGGAAATGTGTCTTGGGCACTGGCAAATAAAATAAAATAACACTCATCATACACATTATACAAAAGACAACAACTCACACACACAAAATATAAATTGCATCAAGTGTCAGAGCTTCATGTTGGCAATAAATTCCCCAAAATCCTCCTCACACTTCTGCTTATTTTCTTTTTCTAAAAAAAAAAGAACAATTTGTGGAGAAGTCTTCCTGCACGCAGCAGTCCCTCGCGGACCTGTCCTCGCTGGAGGGGCACGGGGACTATAGCGGGAGCGCGCCCGCGGTGTGCACGGAGCCGCTCATCCCAACCAACCCTGGGGTCCCGAGCGAGGAGATGGCGAAGATCTCGTGCTGCCTCGAGACCAAAGAGCTGTGGGACAAATTCCACGACCTCGGCACCGAGATGATCATCACCAAGTCCGGAAGGTAGACCAATCAAATGTCTGTGTACAGATGTGATTCATTCTTATAAAAGGTCATTTTCATTTTACTTGACTGACTTTTATGAATATTTTGTTACTTTATTATATATCCAAGAGTCTGCAAGATACAAATGTATAATAAAATAATAATAATAATAATTGTCCCCCCTTTTTGATTTGTATGTTTACTTATTTTATGGCTTGTGCGCTGAGCTGTGTGATTTTTGTATTTTATTTACAGCACTTTAGTCTAGAGGTTTTAAAGTGCTTTACAAATACATCTTTATTGTATGATGCATTCTTATAAAAGTGAATTGTTCCTGTTACTTAAAGGGCCGAAACCTTTATGCAGATTTTTTCGTAAAATGGGGAATGAATGCTTTAATGCGAAAACAACGCACACAAATATGTAGCCTGCTCTCTTCTTGAGGTGTCCAGGTTCTTTGTCACAATCCTCAGCTTTGGAAATATATTAAATTAGAAGAATCCTGCAGCTCTCTGACAGCAGATCTGTGAACAGTGGACACACTGCAGAGTTCACGTGCTGATAAACACCTTAATCTACCTAACGTCCTGAGAGAAACAACGAGCTATGGGACCATATGAAGACTTATTCAACAACCACTGGATGTGCACTTATAAATGAATTCATAATAGAAAGCCGAAGCCAGATTGTATTCTTTTCAAAAAGTATAACATTAGGCCTGTATTTCTGCACCAAGAGAGTGTTTTGTTATAAATAATGTCATGCAGTTTTAGCAACGAAAAGGGGGGTGTGCATTCAGTTAGAATAAATACACATGATAGTTAATTTATTGGATCCTCACTGTGTTTTTTTATTTTACATTTCTAATTAATTTCAAGGCAACAACATAACAAAAATAGACAAAGATTTTAGAAGGGGCTTTTTCCTCCACCGATTTT